ACTGGCTAGTACTGATTAAGTAGCTTTGACATGATATCTAAAACATAATTATCGAGGTACCTTTTCCTTTCCGCATCAGTTGGCAAAACGATGGTAAATTTACAAAGTGATGCAAGAAAAGAGTTCAAGGGTTCTACAGCATGAAGAACGCCACATGCCTGAGAAAAAGTCATAACTTATAAGGATACCCATCAATTCTTTTGGACAGGTAGACAACATAAGGTTAACTGTCAATGTAAAAAGTGTAAAGCAAAGACGTCCGCACATCGCCAATTAGTATCCAAATCACCTATGGAAACTTTGAATCCGGTTTTACATGTACCTGAGTAAATGCTTGATATCCTTTCAGTATCTCCAACACGATTGCCTCACCTTGTGACCTTCAAAAACAATTAGATTAAAAAAACTCCTCAGTGTTGGCCTCTTCATAATCAATATATAGTCTGGCAAAAGAACTCTAATACCTTGATAAAATAAGGGAAAATGCATCGAGTATAGTCAGCCACAATGAGTCTACCATTGAGATACAGAGATGTGAGGTTTTCCCAGTATAAATATTAGACGAAGGATGAACCTCATATCTGGGGGATTCAAGCTGGTGGGTTGAAGAAAGGAAAGTATGAAAAACAAGACACCAGCAGGCAAAGATTAGAAAGATGTAATGTTAGCCAAACATTTATATGGCATAGCGAGGCGAACCCTGCATCAATTACCTCCCCAGTGTCTACTGCTTCATCTGTTAAGGTGGCGACTGTGAAAACAACTCCAAGTAAGCCTTCAATTGCCAAAGTTATTGCATGAGCTTCACTCGCAACGAGAACAGCCGCACTAGAAGCATCATTATCAAGAATCCATTCAATTCCTACAGCAGTGGGGAAATATTTATAATGAAAACTTTTATTAATGAAATAAAAAGATCGAATTTTGTGGTCCTTAAGAGGTAATAATCATAACACAAAATAAATGATTACCTTTAGCTTTGCTACTAAACATCCCAGCAACAGCTGCTAGACTTTCCTCACTCGTCTCCTGAAACTACTTTCAAGAAAACCAACTAAAAAATTTAGCAATGTTCCATGTTTTTACGCCTGTTAACTCTTTAGCGACTAAGGCATTTGTTCGTGAAGTTGTTCCCAAAAATCTTTCTTGCTACAAAAGATAAGTAAAACTACAATCTAAATGCATATCTAACACGTAAAACATTACAGGCGATCTGCCCTATACACACCCACCTGTATGCTAGAAACAACTCGAGCAAGCGCTTTGACCATGCTCTCCACAACATTTGTATTTTTAGGGTGCCTTTAAAGAAAAAAAGTTACTATTAGATTACAGAAGGAACATGATCCAGAAAAAAACTTATACAAATGGCAGTATGAAGATTATACAAGACGGGGTGATTAATTTCCTTAACATGCAACAATGAGTGAACCACAAGAACACAACTAGAAATAAATAGCCTTACATATCAAAATTCTGGAAAAGAATCTGTAATGTTCTTGCTTCAACACAAAACCCCTATGTAATGCGCATAAACAAGAGATCTTAGAAATGTGAACTGAAAAGAAATTACACTAATTCCTGTATTGTCGTACATACACGCGCTAGAAAAACCAAATATAATGATTACCCTCAAAATCTCAAGAACAAGAATGCGATGCCACAATGGCAAATCCAAAAATGTAGCTTTCACGAGCATACTTAGGAACACCTGCACAGAAAGAAATGAAATGGAGGCACCGGTGTTTTAGATTATAGGCAACAGGAGGCAGTGTTTTATGTGCTTGTTCCTTTGCGGCCAATAGCACACAAGCTTAGAGGAAACAGATAAAGTTGTGCATACTGTACCTCGCATTCTGTAATGAGAGACGAACTATACAATCGAATAATATGAGCAACTGATCGCAGCACCAACCGGCGGAAATAAGGTTCAACCATTTCTCCCTCGAGCTGAGTAGTAAACAAATTAATTCCATGAGTAAATGCACGTAGATATGCTTCAATTCTAATCCAAGTTTTATCCATATCACGTGGAAGTATTCAAAGATACAAAAAGCAGTGAGGCATGATTTTACCTCTGAGCTTGTCCGAAGTGATGTCATCAAAAGAGAACAAATTTGGTGACGCAAAACCTGATGAACAAACAGGAAAACGTTTTACGTCAGCATGTTAATAGAAGGACGAGAAACAAGTGCGCATTTGGTAAAAGGCTAACATTACCTGTTCGTAGGGAAGTAGTATCTTAAAAACTGAGATATAGTTTGACAAAACAAACCTGCAAAGTAAATTAAGAACTCATACATTTAAAAAATGATCTTGTTTATTTCAACACGAGCACATTTAAAAAAAAGTGTAGCCCACTAACTCAATTAGTTCGAGGGAAAAGGTCCTCGGAAGAGAAGTAACATGCAACCAAGCTGCCTGCAAAAGCATGAATATAACACAAAAAAAAAAACAGGTATTTTAATGACACTTAGCTAGAGAGGAGATACATAACCAGAATCAATATAGTTGAATTAACACATACAGATCCACCTGCAGCTGAGGCTGTCAGGTCCTCAAGCAACCGCAGACCAAGTTTACCGGTTTCGCTCAGGGTCTCTCTCACTGTCAATCGACCAGAAATGACATCTTTCTCCAAGGGCCTGGGTTCAATATTTCTGTTAGTCTTTTAAATAGCAGTAACACCAAATACCATAAGGTTCCAACTTCCAATTGGATAAAGCAGGAATTCCAAATGGAGAGCCTATGTCTTTCATTCTATCATGAAAAACACAAATCAACAAGCATATAACGATTACATCCCCACTGTAAAATAACCAAAAGTCCATGGACGCACAACAAATATATCTGGCACTAAAGACAGTAAAAAATGAGTTCAAACAGCAAGTTCGACAATAGGGATCAGGGCGGACATACTCTGAATTATTGATATTCTGACTCAAATCTCCTGTCACTGAGCCAGTCCTTGCTGTTTGACTGCTAGAGCTAAATTTAGGCATGGGAAGGGACTCAGCCGAAACCACTTGATCAAAAATCAACGCAACTGCTTGCCTGAATGTAGCTGCAGCAGTACTGGGAGATAAAAAAAAATAACAGAATGACAGTAAAGCACGAATTAAAGGAAAATACGATAGTAGTAAAGAGGTAAGGTTTGAAGAAAGCAACTTACTTGTAAACACTAGGAAGTCGGTTGTTATCAAGAAGCGTGAGACAGATACTTAGTGCCAGAACCATATTATCCTGGAATTAGGAAAGATTGTAAGCGTCACGTATACCAAAGCCATAAGGAATAAGACTAAGGAGAACTAATAAATTTACACTAGCACAAGACAGTTTGCTTAATGAGTCACTTTCCTGACATATGCATAACACCATTTTAACTTTCTGGACTGATTTATACGTTGAGTTAAGTCTACTAGCAACTTTGTGTTAGAGTTCCATTCATTCTAGACAAAGCTTGTCGTATTCACCTCGGTTTCTGGATGTAGGCGAGATTGGAATATTATTAGAATAGTTTGAAGAGTCTTTAGTTGGATAGTTTCTTCTGGCATTTCTGAATGCTGCGAGTAAGGAAACACCCCGCGTTAGGTAGTGTTTTGCAGTAAAATTCATCAACTAAAAATGTAAATGTATTTCTCCCTTTCCATGATCAGAAAGACGTAAGTCTGTTATAAGATATCTTCAAGGATACAATGAATGTTAGAATTCAACAAGATAAAAAAAAAGTCGAAAGAGATTCATATGTTCTGCGTTGCATTGCATTGCAAAACAATTGCACAAAATTTCTACTTAATTTGGAGAAGTTACATAAACTCTCACTTACATCTTTCAAGGTAGTAAGTATCTCCTTTAAAGATGATGGTTCAACTGCATCATGAGAAATAAGCTTCTGCAAGCACGAAAGTCCTATAACACTAAGTTTTGTATTCCTGACTCCACAGGCCATTAGAAAGATCCGAAGAATGTCATCATTGCTCGAAAGATCACTTGCACTCGATGACGAACGAAGCTGAAAAACAAGAACAATATATAGATAACGTCAACTATTCTACAGGAAACCCTCTAAGTGAATTGAATCACACTGCTTACACTGTAAGTGCCTTACAGCTCAATTCACTAACTACAGTTTAACAAATACATAGATCACTCTCTACATGATCAATCAAACGCAGATTCAATCTTAGATTTTAAGCTAAAAAGCATAGTGCGAGCTAACTAAAACAAGACGTCTGTCATATCACAGTGAATTCAAGCTCGAACAGCAGACGTGTGCATTACTGTGGATGAGAGGGAATCTAACCTTCAAGATAGCGTGCTCCGCTCCGTCTTTCACGGCGGGATACCTCCGCCGTGCCTCCGCGGAGAGAGCGCGGAGATCTGCCTCCAGAGCAGCTACCAAAGCCATTGTCGTTACTTGAACCTCTCGAGATTTCAAACTCCGATGCTAGGGTTTTAGATGTTACCAGGGAAATAACTGAATCGGGAAGTCTCGCATCGAGATCGGAACAGCAAAGCTCCGATCGAGAGACGAGTTGGGTACAAAGGAAGAAGAGATTGAAGGTAAACAAAAAAAACTCAGATTCGAGCTGTGTGTATGCTATCACGCGCATGTCACGTGCCTTCACGAAATAAATAGTTTATCTTCACAAGTTGTAGTATATTAAAAATTTTGAGACAACCACCAAACATTCAAACCAACAATAGTCAACTGTGTATCATTTTAACGCAACTCGAATTACAAAACACAACAATATAACAACTATTCGAAACAAACAAATTTAAAAGTATATATATATAGTCATCTCGAATCATTTGACTAGTATATTAATACATGAGTATCCATCACCATTCGTGTACTTGACTTCTTTGTGAGTTCTCTTTCTCCAGAAACTCCTAGTAACACTCCACAACACAATCTATTGATCCAATCTTCTCTTAAGATGGAGCAGTGACATGCCGTGGAGTCAAATCATTAACTTTACTTACATAAACTAAACTTACCCTTTGGTCCGTCTAAACCCGAACCAGATCTCGTAGTGATTAAACAACAAACTGTCATGTGTTTGTCTCCCCAGGGACTCGAGTCCTAACCTCGCTAGTCTCTCTGTGCATTTCTCTCCTCCTAAACGCGTACAAAACTTTATATTATGTGACACAAACATTCTCCCCTCGTAAGGCTTCAACTTATCAACCAGCCTCTCGACTCCACTCCAAACCAGCTCGTCAGGCATATGTAAGAACACTGCACTAGCGTATATAAGATCATAGGCCACATCCGAACCAAACTTGCTGAACTCCATATCTTCCCCTCTGACTATAAGAGGCCGTTTATGTAGAAGACCTTGAGAAGGAAGCTCGTACCTTAACGCAGCCATTAGTGAGAGCTCATCTTTTTCAAGGCAGTGGAAGTTCCCAGGGTTGAGATAACGGATGAAATGCAAACCAACACGGAGCGTACCACATCCTATCTCAAGAACTCTAGCGTTGGGTTTTAGCCGTGATGCGTCAGCTAAAAACTCAAACACGTCACGCCCACCAGCCCAAGGCTCGCCGTAGTTGCTGTGATGCTCCTCAACAAGTAACTCACCAGGGCATGGAAGAGCTGTGTGGTTGCTTTCTTCATCTCCTATGTAATGTGATATACCTTTGTACCTGAATCCACAAACCACCGTAAAAATTCAGAACCTGCACTTTCATGGAATCAATCTACAGAATACAACACATTTGTATGATCAGCATCAAAATTTCTAAACAAAATATAATTGTAATTGTAATGTTCAAAAAATCTCTAGGCGGTAAATAGAGGTTTATTTGATTTTTTGAACGCCTAAACCGATTTGATGTTGTTTCCTATACCGATTTTAACAACATTATTGTTTAGTATTTGTAATGATCCTATATAATGTATCTTCAAGATTAGATTCTATTGGTGTATCATCATGTATATATATATATATAAACACACTCTGATCTCACTAGAAGACATAATACCATTTTCTTTTAAAGAAAGCTATCTACCATAAAGCACTAACTGAGCTTAAAGAAGCAAACATCAAGATCCCAAAACAAGAAAAGGAAGAGAGTGGAGGAGAAAGATGATTACTGTAAGAGATCCTGGAGTTGTTGTTCCCTTGTGCGAGGATTAATCCCTTTCCGAAGAACATTCTCATGCATATGCAAACCGTTCGATCTAATCAGATCTTTAACCCAATTTATATCCTCTCGCGACGTCGAGATTCTCTCCTCCGACCTCACATCACCAACGATGGCATAGTTCTGGGAGGAGGGTGGAGATGACGGACATGAGCAGGAGGACAATGAAGACGATAGGATGAAGAAGATAAACGCCGATAACGAAGCGGTTAGAACCAGAACTGGGATAGTAACAACGATTCCTTTCTGCATCGCCGACGAAGAAGAAGACGATAGAACCGCCATTAATGTACAAATCTCAGTGAGCTTATTACAGATTTGAAGAGAGTTAAACCGGCTTAGACCGGGTTTAATCGTCTGATCTGTGTAGTCCAACAGATCGGGTTTAATCGTTTGATCGGTCAAGTAAAAGTGTAGAACCACGCGGTTTTATTTACAGTCAGTTAAATTAGTAGTTAATTATGGGATTTGAGAACTTTAGAATCCTTGTTAGTATATTTCCATTGGGAGAATCTCATTAAGATTCTAAAATTTGTATTTTTTTTAAGTTGAATGATTTGAAAAAAAAAAAGAAGACATAATTTTTTATTAAAAATGACATAAAAGCATGCATAAGAAATAGAAAAACAAATTGTAAATGGGAAAAATCTAATTAATTGAAGTCTTGACTTGTTCTAAATTTTTGCCATATATTCTCAACTAAATCCGCTTTCAATTGTTGATGTATTGTTTTATCACGAACTTGATTCCGAATGCTCATTATATTGCCGAGCATTACAGTAGAATACGTGAAATCCACTTGTGAAGTTCGGTTTGATTCCGGATGTGCGAAAACTAAAACATCAAACTGAGTGTATCCATCTCGTTCGTCTTGTACTATCATATTATGCAGAATGATACATGCTCTCATTATCATACCAATTTTTATTTTATCCCATAAAAGAGCTGGATTTTTGACAATGGCAAATCGAGCTTGCAAGACGCCAAAAGTACGCTCGACATCTTTACGTACAGATTCTTGATATGTAGCGAATAAAGATGCTTTTGAACCTTGTCGAAGTGGAATTGATTGGATAAAAGTTGCCCATTTTGGATAAATACCTTCTGTCAGATAGTAAGTCAAATGGTACTCGTGTCCGTTGACAATATAGTTCACTTTTGGAGCTCGACCTTGTAATATATCATCAAAAACCGGTGATCGATCAAGAATATTGATATTCGTTTAATATACATGGAGGTCCGAAAAAAGCATGCCATATCCAGAGATCTTGTGAAGCTACAACCTCTAAAACAATGGTTGGCTTTCCTGATCCACGTGTATCCTTTACATTCGTCCGAAAATTCTTCCACTCCCAATGCATACAATCAATGTCTCCTATCATACCTGGAATACTCGTATCTCTCCAATATCGAGTAGTCGTTGAAGATCTTCAGACGTGGGTCTTTTTAGATACTCCTCTCCGAATAAATTTATGATTCCTTGAACAAAATGTTCCAAGAATAAAGGCGCGGTGGTCTCACCAAGTCAGAGGTATTCGTCGACCGCATCCGCTGGGCAACCATATGCCATCATACGAATTGTTGTCGTTGCCTTTTGTAACGGAGAGTGACCGAACCTTCCAGTAGTATCTCTTCTTTGTTGAAAGTATGGGATTTCAGCGGCGAGTCGATCAACAATACGCATTAACAAGGATTTGTTTATTCGAAAACAGCGTTGAAACATGTGAGAAGGATATGTTGCATTTTCGCTAAAATAATCGTTACAATGCTCTGAAGAAGTCTTGATCTTCTCCCCAAAGCCTTAAGCTACTAAATTTGTCTGAGAACAATGGAAATAATGTAAAAACTCGACCCTTGCATAAAACACCAGCAAAAGGACATATTAACTAGGTAAAACTCGTCCTAGGGTGATCTTGTATTTCTTGTGATTTAGGCTCCAAGTCAGCCACTTGGTGGATTGAGTTTTTCGCGCGTCGACCTTCGATCGATGGCATATGTGTGTCATCGATCGACGCCCATGCTCTGCCTTGACTCGTACTTTGCGGAATATGACCAGCTACGGGATTCTTCTCTCTTTAAGCTTTGGAAAGTCGAATAATCTCCACAGTTCTCTAAAAGATACCTGGACTTGTAAAGACTGTAAAACACATCTTAGACACACATAACAGACTTCAATAGGATCTATTACATGGTCTAAAAGTGGTGAATATAAGAACCTATCACATACTAATCCATCTAAAAGTAGATAGATTTGATAAAATGATGGGCCTTGTTTGTTTCAAGAATAGATCAGTATATGTTTTTGTTTAGTTTGTTGACTTGATTTACCCTTGTAGTGGATCATCTAGTAAATAATGCTGAAATTACGCAGAAATTACTAAGACAAGAAGTTATGGTAATGATACAATTATTGTGATTTATGAAATCAACCGACTCTTTAATCATAGACAGTCTTGTAATATGTTTTTAGTTATTTATTAGGATATTAATTTCTGGGAATCGGTATATACAACTCGCATTGCGCTTCCTTACCTTCCACAAAGCAATGGTAAGATTGTGACTATATCATCCTCTGCGGCATGGCTAACCGCCCCAAGGAAGAGATTTTACAGTTTAAGTCACTATTTTACTTATTTGTCTTAGTAAAGTACCTTGTTTGACAATGTTCATTGTGAGTAATTGTTACATGATTATTTTAATTAGAAATGCAAGGCAGCTCTGTTGAGCTCCTTTGAGACAATGAGGATTGAGCTTCGCAGAAATGTACATATTACAATCATCACACCTGGCTATATTGAATCCGAACTCACACAAGGCAATTTTTTCTCTAGTGATGGTGAGTTAATAGTCGACCAAAACACTAGAGATGTAAGAAAGCTAACTCCCTGGATCATTTTTTTAAATATTTATGTGTTCTATCTGTTATAATATACGTGTTTGCAAAATTTGGTTCAAATATGAGCATTTCCCATAGCATCGGTCTCAAGTTGTGCCAGAACCAGAGATACTTGACTGAACCATCGTGGTTCAAGATGACATACCATTAGAAAGTGTTTTGTCCGAGATGATTGAATGGGGTTGTCAGTTAATGTTCACGAGTGGACATGGTACGCGCGATGAAAATGCTCTTAACAAGAAAATCCCGGACATTCCTGGTGTACGTAGAGTTATGTTCCCCGAATCTATTAGAACGTTATTAGAATCTCACATCGGGAATATTAAGTATCTTTGGGGTACTATATATATATATATATATATATGTGTGTGATGTGGTAATCCTACACTTTTGAATTAGTTTTTGGATGTGTGTTATGCCCATTACTAATATGATATCAGAGCCCATGGTTTCAATTTCTCTCGATTGTGGCCCACCCGTGGATGTTCCCACAAACTTCACGCTTCAGATGTTCAATCCTGAGCGTGAGGGTGGCGGGGGTGTATTAAAGTCCCACAACAGGAATATAAAGTATCTTTTGGTAATATATATGTGATGTGGCAATCATCCACTCTTGAGTTAACTTTTGAGTCAGAGTTAAATCTATTACTAATATGGTATCAGAGATAATTTAAGAGTGGAGGATAATTCAAGTTTCTCAGAAGTGGAAGAATGTTTTGTTGATGGACTTTTTTTACTATGTATAAGTTACAAATATACCTTTGTTCGTCTATGCTTGTAAAAATAAGTGACATGGGTTTAAACATGCGTAACAACCGCATGGAATCCATCCAAACCAAGAAAACGGCAACTCCTTGTTGTCCTGCTGATCTGAGTCATGTAAGCTTATTTAAGCTGTAACTAGATTTTTTATCCGCGCGTAAAGAGCGCATGTACTATTTTGTTGTTTTATTTATAGATCATTCGATAAGTCTTTTGCTTTGATGATATAAAATGTCACAGAATCAAGATTAGGTTATCATGCGGGTATAAAGAAATTTTTATATTACAATGTCTCAGACAAATTTTTTATGTTTCTAAATATATTAACAATGGTTGTACCTCAAATTTGTACTTGAGAAAATTGTCTTTTAACAATTAAATGACTCATTCTTTTAGTTTTGTGATTAACTCATAAAATCATTTAGTTACAAAATTTCACTATCTAATATAACTTTTTAAAACTAATGCAGATTTTAATTTATTATTATCATCAATATATATGTAAATGTATTGTATATAATTGTGTAGTTTTATTTGGAAAACATAATATTAATTAACTACGCCTGATGTTGGAAGCGGGTTAAACTCGCTTCCTCCGGCCCGCTCTGCAGCGGATTGAGTCATTTTTACGACTCAAAAATGTGACATGTCTGATCCGCAAAAGAAAAAATATTTTTGCAAGAAATATTTTATAAATTTTAAAAGAGAATCGGCCCATTAATGAAATCCATTATTATATAGTTTTTAGGCCAAAATAAAAATGAAAAAATTACATTAATGATAAATTAATGATAAATTAAATTTGTATATAAGAATAAGAGTATAAATGGAAAACATAAAAAAATATTAACAGAATGTTTCTATTTTAATTGTATTGATTATAGAATGTTTCTGTTTTAATGGTACTGATTATATTTGCTTTTGACTTGATCTTTGGTACCAACATCTGTAAGTTCTAATTTGGTTACACATTTTCTAAAAACTGAAATCATTAAAGCGAACCGAAAAAGTGAATGTTGAGTAGATTTTATTTAGGACCAATATCTTTAATCGTTTTACAATACAACTGCTCAGTTTCTTTTAAGCTTCGAGATTAACAATTCAGGGCACAGTATACTAAGCCATAAGAGAATTCGGACCCATGACGGCTCTGCCAAAAAGGTTTTCCCCCTGCAGATTCCATTGACAACGGCCTTGGCGCATTCCGCTGCTGACTCGATAGCAACAACTTGCGACCATTCTTGTTTCTGCAATGAGACCGTATAAGAGAAGATCGGACAAAGACATGAAATATGATGATAGTATCATACCTCAGCTAAAAGATCTGGACTGGTATTTCCGTTTTCAATTAGACCTGGAAACACGATTGTCACACCAATTTCCGGACCAAGTTCGATATTAAGAGTCTCGTAGAAGTTTATCATAGCTGCTTTACTTGCCTGAATCAAATGTTACTTTCGGTCAGGTTTAATATAAATAAAATATGCAATGAACAAAAAAAGAAAAGCATAAACAAGCGAGGAAGAGGAATTTACAGCATAGATACTCATCCTTGGCACTCCAGACCATCCGGCAGGCGACGCGACTGCGATTATCTTTCCTTTGGTTTTCTTTAGGTGTGGTATAGCAAAATGTGTCGTGAAAACGGGTCCCCAAAAGTTGGTATTCTGCAAATTGTTATTGACATCAATGCTATGTAACATTCACTGAGATTTTCTATTATTATATATTAGATTTTGATATGCGCTTGTTTTGTTATTGTAAAAAAAAATATTTGATATAAAGTATAAATAAACATAGTTAATTTTCAAATTCGTGTTCTTATTTTTCTTTTATTTTACTTATAGCATGAAAAATCAATTATATAAAATTTATAAGAAAATGATATAATATAAGTGTAATTTTGAGTATTATATAGTTATATAATTTTATCTTTTCGATCATAAATTTCTAAATAGAAGTTAATCATATTTTATGCTCTAACCCGTGATATAATACATGATCATAATTTAAAAGGAACATATTATATCTTAGTTTTAATGAAATATTCATTGTAAGTTTAATATATTAGTTTGAGTTAATTTTTTTTTATAATTTTACCGAATAAGAAAAGTTTAGTTGTAAATATTTAAATATCTAATTCAAAATATCTAAACCGGTACATTAAAGTTTCTGATACAAATTCCATTTCCATATACATAACTATGTTAGTTTCATACTATTTACATATAGCATATTTTGTTAACCAGATTAAACAAAAGTTGAAGAGTTAAGATTATGTTCAGTTTAAATTACCAAGTAGTTTTTCCTAGCTAAATCAAATCGGTTAACTATGAATTTTCTAAACTACAATGAATCATGAGTAATATTATATGAATCTATCACGTTTAAAATTTATTAGATTATGATCACATTGATTTCCAAAAGATTATATCTCCATAAAATATGGTAAATTTTATATTAATTAATAAATAATTAAAATTGGTAACTAAAATTAAAAAGTGGCATTTCATTGTATATAATTCAAAAATCAGTGGCAAAATCCTATTATGGATTCAACTTTAATAGTATACTAGAGCTCGACCTGCACATCCGTGCGGGTATTTTCATTGTATTTTTGATATTATCTTAAATGCTTTATATATATAATTGACATTTTAATGCTTATATACTGTGTATTTTTTAAATTTTCTTGTTTAGATTTGTTATTCAGCATTATTAACATATAACGATTTGTTTTATACATTTTACTATGTTATTAAGTGTTACTGTATTTTTTAGTTTGATATAATAATTTCTTAATCTGAAATAATCAAACAGTAATTATTTTCAAAAAAATATATTTTTAATTTCTACAATTTGCATACAATACATTTTTAAAATTTATTTAGTTATACAGAAGGATATTTGTTTAGGATAATTTATATCTTCATGTTTTGTTAAACAAATGTACTTGAACATCTATTTTTTTAATATTTTTTGGGATTTTATAAGTAAATACATTGTTCTATTTAATTAATATAACAATATTATTTTATCAAATTTTGTACATAGTAGCATATCATATTATTTAATAATTTTTTGAATATTGTGGTATTAAGTTTTCTGATTTTATGTTATTAATTAAGATTTCAAAATATTATATTTCTTTTAATTTTGACAAAATAATTTACTTTTCGTGTTGCATTGCAGAAATTATACTTTAGCATCTATGATTTTATATTTTGTAAAATTTGGAATACCATCATTTTGCGTTTGGAATATTTATTTTTAAAATTGTATATCTGGGGAATTTTGGAAAATAACACAACTATTTTCGAGTTTGGTGGATTATATAATTTTGTATATTTGTTTCACTAAACTAATTCATTATCTTATTAAAAAATTTGAACTCTTGGTAAGATTTTTACATTTTTCTGAATAGATTTTGCTAAAGTTAAAATGAACATTAAATGTATAAGTCAGTTATTTAGTTAGGATTTAGAAGTCGTAGAATAATATTTTTTGTTTGTATCTTGTTTGATTTAATAAATTAGATATTATGCTGTTACTATTGAGGACCTTAATATGGTTAAATAAAAGAATATACTTGGAGATTTTAATTGAAGATTATTTAAATATTCTACTATGATAAGAATTAGTAAGCCGTGTTTTATTGTTTAATAGGAGAAATCGAGATTTACAAACTAAACCGATATTAAAAAATCAAACAAAGTCGTCTTCTTCACTTGGTGAAAAACATGATGAAGAAAATGGACAGACTAATAATGCTTGCCTATTTCTGATGATTCAATGTTAGTTGTTGCTCCACAGAGACATGAACTAATGCAGATTCGAAGTGATAAGTAATATGACATCATTAATAGGTAGTGCGACATGAACAGAGAAAAGTTAATAGTAAAACTGAAATAATGAATCTTGTAACATAGAGTCCCTACAAAATGTAAATTTCAATTTGCTCTTGTTCAAGTTTCGTTTTAAATTTTGTTCCATAATTAAATCATGTAGGCTCGATGATTATGTGGTAGAAGTCAGAATGATATATGTATTGTTCACGTTTAACATTGTTGATGATAACAATGTTCTAGAGTTGTAAAGGGTATACATGGTTGATTAAAAGTGTAGATTAAATTAGATATCAGTTATATATATGCTGATGAATCGTTTATATGGCGGTTATTAATAGTGCATATATAAAGTTATATAGCTATTATGGATTTTTATTTTGTTGTGTTACTAATTTAATGGTTCTTTTAAGACTTGTTTATAATAGATAAAAAATGATAGAGTAGATATGTTCTCTTAGCCTTTGTTTGGCAAGCATGATTAAATCAGTTTTGCCAATAATTTCATGTAACTTATAAACTAAAAGTTAGATTGTGTCAGTGATTTGATTGGTTCATTGTTTCTTAGTCTAAAAGTTAGATGTCAATTACGTTTGTAAACTATAATAACTTCTAAAGTACTATCAGTCAGTGATTTGATTGGTTCATTGTTTCTTAGTTTACCATAATGGGAAGAACATCAGAGATTTGTGAGTAATCTTCGAAAAACTTGGCCTCCGCAATCCCCGCATTGTTCACCAGGTGGTCCACTGCAACCACCATCACAATGGTGACAAGATTTATTTGGTTTGTTCTTTAACAGGAAACAATATTAGTTGTTCAACCGCAAAAACAACTCACGTCTTCCAAAACGAGAGATGGTTTCTTCGACAAAACGTTTACAGTCTTCAGTGACTGAGACATCACCACGCACCACGGCAACGTCAGGTGATCCAAGCCTCCGGCACCGATTAGCCACAAGTCGGAGACGATCCTCTCTCCGAGCTACTAAGGTCAAGTATGCTCCTCTACGCGCGTACTCATACGCAAGGTGCTTCACAGTTATAAAAATTATAAATGTTTCCTTGCTTTAACCATTGGCCAAAGCTTTTGATCATTGACTTTGAAAATACGGGGAAGAACTCACTAACCTCACCAATCCCTGAGGAAGATCCGGTGATGATGACGGCTTTTCCGTTGACTTTCTCGGACTCTTTGCTATTCCTTATGAAGCTAAAGAGCTTGAAGAATATTGAAAACGGCATGTACACTAGAAGAAGCGAAACCGTGACAATAGGAAGAAAAATGTTAAGGATCTTGTTGATCAAAGCCATGTCCTTGCTTAACTTTGTGTTTCTCATTCAAGAGTTATAGTTTTATACACATGTTGAGTATTCTTCTGCGATGTCACTCTCTTGGAATCACTATTAAAGAATTAAACGGCGGAAAACGAAAAAGAATCTCCAAATCGTAGTTTGGCATCTTTTACGTTGCTCGACATTTGTCCTCACTCAACATATAGTAATTCATAGAAATATTGGAGAAGGCTTTCATCCGCTCCAGACCCGCTCCAAGATCTCAATCCAAATATAACTAGATTTTATTCTGCACGTCCACGCTGATGGATGTATTTTTTTAAAACTATATTGCTATTTATTTTTTATATCAGTATTATATATCATATACGTGTCATTATATAATTAATAATAATTTATACTAGATTTTGACCTACGCTTGAAAAGCGCGAAAATTTTTTATGATTAAAAATTTATATATTCGGTTTTGTCTTAATTTAAAGAATGTTTTGGTATAAAATTAGTTTACCAAAATTTGTGGTGATAGTTGTTTTTCATTAGTTTTTAGTTTCAGTTTTTATTTTTAGATTTTGTTTTAAATTTTGTTTTTGTTTTTTAGTTTTTAAGTTTTTATTTTTGATTTTCAGCTTTTGGTTTGGGTTTTTAATTTTTAGACCCGCTGAGTTAGTTTGAACTAATATTACCAACAAACAAATCTCAATTAATCGAACATGTAATTTAAAACTGAAAAGATGACAAAATAATTTTCTAAAAATTTTGAAATAGTTTATTTTGTAAATAAAAAAAGTAAAAAACATAACCTGCGTTTTCAGCTTTTGGTTTTGGATTTTAGTTTTTAGAAGTTACCATTAAAATTTATCAAGATAGAGTGATTGTTATTTAAAATGAAAACTATTAACATGTTTTAAAGTACATGATTTAAATAAGTGATTAATAATAGATAATTTTGTTTTGTTGAAAATACAAAATATTTTTGGGCTAAAAAATATTAACATGTTTTAAAGTACATGATTTAAATAAGTGATTAATAATAGATAATTTTGTTTCTTGAAAATATTAAATATTTTTGGGCCTGAAAATAGTAATTGATTTTTGATCCATTAAGGTGGAAAGTTTATTTAATCTTTTTGGAGTTTTTCTTTAATACTAAGCCCAAAAACCAAACAATTAAATGTCATAAAAACAACAGTAAGCCCAAAAATATACTCCATAAATAACCGACGGTTTAATTTACGTAATGCGGTTCAATCAACTATATAACTTGTATTATTTGTAATATTCTAGAAAGAGTCCAAATTTAAATGACAACTTGTATCAGTAGTAGGCCTGTTCAATCTGGTGTTCGGTCCGGTTTCGGTTCGTTTTTTTTCGGTTTTCGGTTATTCGGTTTATAAAAATTAGTTACCATATTGGAACCATATTTAATTTGGTTTGGTTCGGTATTTATACTACCGGTTTTCGGTTTATTTGATTTGGTTTCATATTATATGAATTTTTTAAAAAAAATATTGTCAAAACTATCATTTATTAAAATAATCTTAGATGTTCATAAATATAAAAATGTGAAATTAAAAACAAACAAAACGATCAACGATTCAGTTTTGTATAGCTTTTCTTATTTTCTCTTTGTTCTTCCAAATAAATTACATGGTACAATTTAGTTCACAAATTTTTACAACATGTAAAATCAAATCAAATTTAGATAATAGTTGAAGAAAATAAAATAAAACTATTAAGATATATCTTCACAAGGTATAAAAAATAAAAATAAACGACTATTCCAAGAAAATAAATGGTTATATAATGTATATATTTATATATTTTTTCTTTGATCAGTTTTGTTCGGTTTATTCGGTTTAATCGGTTATAAACCTAACCATATCCAAATCCTACGGTTTTTATAAAATCATATCCATTCGGTTTATATGGTATATACCAAATCCACACCATATTGTCTATTTCGGTTCGGTTCGGTTCGGTACGGTTCGGTATCACCATATTGAACAGCCCTAATCAGTAGATAAAAAGAATGACTATATTTTAATAGAATAGATGTACCATAATATAAATTATTGATGGATTTGCGGGTCGACCCGTTCCACTGCGAATTGAATCTTTTTTTATTCAAAAATTTTACACGCAAATGGGAAACATTATACCTGAACCCGCCCTATTTAAATTAGTTGGTACAAATTTAATATTTTTATCACAAATATATTTCACAAAATGTATTCCAAATCATTGAAACTTTACTTGACATATATATATTTCAAAGTGCAGATATTATTTTCATATGAAAATCAAAATAGTATAACTGGATATGTTTATTATAAAATATTTAAAACTGAAATTAGGGTGATGACAAAAAAAAACTGAAATTAGGTATTATTAATATTTTTAATTTGTTTCATGATAATTAATGTTTTATGTTAATATGTCATAATAAAAATGATCAAATATTTTTTTTCAATTTATCTTTTATTTGATAATTATTTTGTACGCCTCATAGAATAACCCATCAAAATTTGTAACTGTAAGAACATCAAGCATTATTTGTAATAAAATAACAAAATATTGTATATATTAATTAACTTTTCGTATTTTACTTTTCAGCCAATATTTTTTGTATACAAGTAAATTTTATTTTGATTCTTATTTATAATTTTGTTTGAAGTAAACATAAGAATTATTTGTTAAAAATTGAAATTGTTCTTTATAACTAATAACAAATCAAAAGTTTTAATTGTAACCGAGATTTTCTGTTTTAAAAAAAACATATACTGAATATTTTTCTACAGAATAAGAAGGTATATATCTAAATTAAATGTTATTTAATAGTTGAATTCGGATACATGACTAACTTCCTAAACGTGAAGTATAATTATCTTCGTATTAATTATAAGATACCGAAATATCAGTAACTTTCTAAAGAATAAATACCCACGAAATATCATATCATATCGTAATTAGGCTAATTAAACATATAATATTACATTAATAATGTGAGGTATAACTTAAAAATCTTACCTATAAGAATTCACTATAAAAATTAATATTAAATACATGAAACTATGAGAAAAGATATCTCATTAGTTGATTTTGCAAAAAACTTTTTGAATGATATGTTCTATAACAAATATTTAAATGTAAAATATATATTAGATAAAAATAAATATTTAAAAAATAAACATTGGTTCTTGTTTATTTGTTGTTTATGTCATACTACTATTAAATTGAAAATAGAAGTCAAGAAAACTTACCAATACAATCCACTGTTTGAAGGTTGATATCAAATATTTTGGATTTTTGTAACGACTATTTTTTTCCATAACAATTCCAAAGAAATAAACATGTGATATTAAAATGATCATATGATTAGATCTAACCTAGAAAATAAATATGAAATGTGAAAGTATTGAATTTACTTGAGATTTATAGAAAAGACAAATGTTTAGTTCGTCAAAAAAAGGAAAATGTTTGGTTCACAGGAAAAAAACACTAAAGAAAACAAAGATGATCAAATCATATGCTTCAAAAGAGGAATCATTATGATAATTCATCTGCAGATAAACCAAAACCAGAATTAGCAAACAAAAAAATATGTATATATATAAAGTTAACATTCTGAAATAATATAAATTTACTAAATCGAAAACATAAAAAATAAAATCATAAAGGTTCAGTGACTTCGTTTCTCTGCTGAGAATGTCTTATATATAGTAAATTAGAAAACGTTTATAAATGACCTAGCTTTCACAAGAAGTTTTGAAATAGAATGTACTTTAATAAATTCTCAATAAATATTATGCTTATAAGGTAATATTATTTTTGGAATATTTTGTTAGTAAAGAAAAAAAAGAATATCTCGTGACGAAATTGCAAAAGAAATTTGGTTGAAATATTTTACTATATACATTAAATACTAAATGGATGAAATTAAGAGAGCATATATCTTGTCAGTTGATTGCAAAAACTTTTTGAATGACATGTTCTACCACAAATATTAAAATAATATATATATATATATATATATATATATATATATATATATATATATATAAGAAAAGAACTAAAGCGTAGACTACAAATTTTTTGTAATTGCCATATCTCACTATAGATATTTAATATGACATGATTTTGCATCCAAGTAAATTTATTTTGATTCTTGTTTATAATTTCTTTTTTGAAGTAAACATAAGCATTATTTGTTAAAAATTGAAATTGTTCTTTATAATTGATATACCATGATTTTGAACCCGTTTTTAGTCAAAGTATATTGGTGTTTTTACTACTATTTATTATATTATACAAGCTTTTAAGCATATTTATAGGTTCAGAAGTATTTTGGAAGAAAATAATGTTTTTGAAGCATTTTAGAGAGAATTAGAGAAATCACTCGATTTGGAATCGACTAGGTCGATCGAGGTCGACACGGAGTGAATCACGTCGATCGACATGCATCTTGCATGACCGATCGATGCCCAAGGCGGAGAGACCAATTCACGAGACAAGTCAACTTCAAGCCCAAACATCACCAATGATGATTTTACCCCTGACGAGTTTTAACATAAGTTTATATACTTTTCCAAACTGTTAGAGGCATATTCTTTTCACAGCAAAAGGTTTTAGTATTTATAGTTTGGGAGAGAAAATTAACAAGGATATTTGTGATTGGAACTCCATTGTTTTCTATCTATCTATCTATCTATCTATCTATCTATACTATGCAGTTTTATTTAGCTATTTGTGTTATGAATTGCTTAGCTATGTCTGAGTAGTTCACTTGTTAGAATTATAGTTTAAATAGGTTAGAGGGATTAGCCCCAACTATAGGATTGCTTGTTGTGGTATTCATTAATAGGATGTTCTTAGTGCTCATGTTCGAGACTTGCTAACTAGAAACCTGAATCTAGGATTATTAGGTTGTTTAGATATCTTTACATAACTCTAATAGTCTTGAACACATCCTGATTAAGTTAGGATTTGTTAGAAATACAGCGAGATTTTGATCTTTGGATCCATAGTGAGTCTTTGTTAA